TTCTATTTTTAGTAGAGACGGGGTCTCGCTCTTGCTCAGGCTGGTTTCGAACTCCTGAGCTCAAACAATCTGCCCCCCTCAGCCTCCCAGAGAGCTAGGATTACAGGCGTGAGCCACCGCGCCCGGCCTGGAGTTGACTTGTTTTGTAGACTAAGGGAGAAATGAGCCCTTGGGTGTACTGAGACATTCACACCATTACTTTATCTACAGGAACAAAAGTTGAAGCTGAAAGGCTCCTACTGTGTGAGCGCTGGGATTTCTTATGCAAACTGGAGATGGTAGGGGAAGAGGGAGCCTTTGTGATTGGGCGGGAGGAAGTGCTGACCGAAGAGGAGCTGACCACCACACTAAAGGTAAAGAGCTAAGAGTGGCCATTTAATGCTGGTAAATAGCTTCAGTATTTAGAGCAAAAGAGCTAGGAGATGAGAGAGGAAAGGTGGGATGCTGGGGGAGAACACTTAATAAATGCTAAGATAGATTGGGTCTCCTCTAAAACAAGTATATTCTAATCAAAGGGCCCCATGGTTGCTTCTAGGTACTGTGCATGCCTGCTGAGGAATTCAGAGAGTTTAAAGACCAGGATGGATGGAGAAATAAAAGGGAAGAGGACAGCCTGACAATCACAAATATCCCCAAGCTCAAAGCATCATGGAGACGGCTTCTTCGAGACAGTGTTCTATTGACCTTGCAAACCTATGCCACAGACTTAAAAACTGAGCAAGATTTACTCAGTAATAAGGAGGTCTATGCCAGACTCAGCTGTAGAGAACAGCAGGCCTTACAGCTTCGCTATGGTCAGAAGATGATCCTACATCAGTTGTTGGAGCTGACAAGTTAGCAGGTTCCCTGTTGCCTATAGGAACAACAATAAGAACTTACTCTACATTGATACTGATGCTTGAAAAGGAGGAAAATTTGCATCTTTTGCTTTTCTTATTAAATACTAAAAGGAAAGTAGCAAAGTTGTTATGGTAAGATTAACTGAGGTAAGTGTGATGTGTTGGACACAGCAGACTTGGGGATCACTGCTAGTTGTTACCTAATGTTTTATACCTGTTTTCAGTTTTAACCAATGCCGGCAAAAATAGGGTGGTAGTAGGTCTAACTGTGTTCTAGCATTTAATAACATGGACTTTGCAAGTAGACCTGGTTCAAATCTGGGCCTATTTTTAAGATGGTGACTTAACCTTTAAAGACTATTTATTAGAGGATTTAATATAATCTGTGTAACTGGCCTTCAGAGTGTTTCCTTTAATTCCACCTTCAGTTATGTAATCAGCAGTCTGA